GGTCTTGTTGGGTAAAGGAACCCTGGATCGGGTCTTACAAGAATTCTATGGAAGCCTTATGAACTGGAAATATTTAATATAATTGGAAATTTTTTCTCCTTGTATAATTTTTTACACCTTCTCTTTATTCTTTTCATATGGCTGCAACAAAATGTAAATTTTCTCACTTTAAAAGTCTCCAACCTCTTTCTAATCTCTTTAGACTTGAAAGTACCAAATTTTATATCAATTTCTCATTGTTTGTCTTTCACACTAATTTATCTTGTGTTACATCTGGATGTGTCTTAAATCTCGGTACACCATTAAAAGTCCATAATTCATTAGGCCAGATGTACGCACTATCAAGATTGACATCAGGGGGTGCGGGCCCCCCGCATCCAGTGCGGTATGCTTTTTTGGTTTAAAACAAATTATTATTTTTAGATAAGTATGTATTCCTATCTGGAAAATGGAAATTGGGTTTTTCGGCTGCTATAAATATGAGTCTAAAGAATTGTAAAGTTATTAATTCTCACAATAATATACAAAACCTAAACGGGTATTGCCTCATTTGTTTTTGCTCTCTTTTGCTTTCTTCGAGTTGATTCACCACATCTTATTTTGTAGGTTTTTCATTAAATGGTTCTCATCTTTCACCCCTTTAAAGGTAAATATGTAAATTTTGGATATGTATTTTTGTGTGTGTTTATAAGTTAGATTCTAAAAGTTATAGATTCAACTTAATGTGATTGTTTTATTTATTATTTAAGCATGCAAATTATTTTTGAAATTGTTCTCTTTTTGAATCATTTGAACGTTTTTGGATTTGCAGTTTTTTCACATCCGAGTTAGACTTTGGAGAACTTCTCAGAAGGATTTTTGTAAGACTTCTTCAGAAATCTTCTAATGCATTTTTTTTTGCTAGATAACTATCTAAGAAGTTTTCCATAAATTCTTCCGAAGTCTTCTGAAGTCCTATGCCCAAAGTGGTACAAAGGGAGGATTTTAGCTTCACGTGTAATATATATTTTTTTATGATTTGCATGTGTACTCTTTTAGTTGTGGATTTTCTTGTAAACTTGAAGGGTTGTTAATGAAATTTTTTTGGTAAATATGTTACTGTCTACAATCTTATTTTGTCAAAAGTACTTGACATTATTAAAGTTATTGATACAACATACCAAAAACATTTTAATAATTTTACCTACTCATAGCAAAACACAGAAAAAACTTAGTGAAATTTACAAAAACTAAGGAAAAAAACTTCTCAAAAAAATTTAGACAAATTCACTAAATATCAAACATTACATAAGTCTCACCACAAAGAATTTTTGGAAGACTTCACTAGAAGTCTAGCATTCACATAAGACTTCTCCAGAAGTCTTCCCTCGGGAGATTTTTTGGAAGACTTCACGCGAATTAAGCAGAAAATTAAAATTTAAGTGGAAAATTCATGCGGAAAATTAAAATTTAAACGGGAAGTTTAAGTAAAAAATTAAAATTTAAATGAAAACATAAATTTTAAGTTACATTTGAAATTTAAAACTCATGAAAGTTAAACAAAATTATATCATAATATTTAAGAAGACATATTAAACCACTTCTTGAAGTCACTTAGCACTTTTAAAAGTTAAAAAACATATCTTTAAATTACTTAACATTCTTGAAAAGTTAACAGAGAAAACTTCTCTTGAAGACTGGAAATCTTCTCTAGTCTTCTTGGATAACTAGAAACAAGAATAAACATGAATTTTTGTAACTTCATAGTTATCAAGAATTAAGTTATGAATTTCATTCATGAGCTCCATTAATGACTAATACACATGAATTAACAATCAAAATTTAAAAATTCATTTATAACTTCTATGAAAGTCTTCTATTTATGTCATTTTTGCAATTGAAAATTTACAAAGGAAAGCATACTTCTTAAGAAGTCTTCCTTTGTAAATATCGACTTACTTTTGTATCTGAAAATTTCTCGAATGTTGGGAAGACTTCCAGATAAGTCTTCTCTGATAAATATGTTATTTTTTTGCACTTGACCAAAATTTTGAAGATATTTGACTTTTTCTTAGAAGACTTCTTGGCGAAACCTTTCAAGGAAGTCTTCTTACACTCACATGAAGTCTTTTCACTGTCGGTTGAAGTATGCGCCGATTACTTTGGCGATTGACCATATTTTACTTTTTCATAGAATACTTCTGTGAAAGTCTTACTTCTTTCATAACCTAAAGTTTGGCTAGAATCACAAAATAAAAGTCTGGAAGACTTTCAAGGAAGTCTTCAGACATAAGACTTCTCTGAAAGTCTTCTAATTAAAATTAAAATTTTACGTTTTAATTTTTGATGGCAAAATTAACTTATGCAGACTTCCTCCGATAGTGAACAGACTTCAAGTAACAGTTAAGAAAGTAAAATTTCTATATAAATTCAATTTTTTGACACAATTCCGTCAATTTCAAAAGTAACATGTTTCTCCAAGAAGACTTCCAGAGAAGCTTACTCATATTTTTATTAAAAAATAAAAGTTAGAAGACTTCGAGAGAAGTATTCTCTAAAAAACACACAGAAAGTCAATTGCAAAACTAACTTATGCATTGATCAGGAACCTTTTGTAGAAGTCAGCTTTGCTAACAGATCTGGAAAAAAGTTTCAAAGATCATTCTTAGATCCGGTGAGGTTTATGTTTAGCTTCCAAGCACACCTAACGTCTTAATTTATTACCCACTCGTTCTTGATGAGGAAATCATGAACTTGAGTAACTATAGTAAACTTATAAATTTTGAAAATTTTTGGAATGAAATAAGAGAGGAAATGAAAGGGAAATGGTTTGTGTGCATAAGAAATACGAATATGGAGATGTTGAATTTAGATGCATTTAGAGCTTGAAATTAATTTTTGATGATGGTTGGTATATTGATAACAATTGTAATGTTGTAAATAAAAGAAGAAGATGAGGATGATTGAGTAACAATAATTTTCAAAAAAACAATATAATATGGTATTTTTTTTGAATAATGTGAACTTATGGGATGAATATGCCAAATGAATTTTTTAAACAAATCATGGATAAATAGTGCATTTTATTTCGAATTTTGAGTCATATTTGTAAAATTTACTTTAATATATGTGAATTTCAAAATAGTTTATCAAATAACACGTTCAACAAAACTAGATTTTTTTTAAAAAAATAATGTTTGTATTACAAATCACTTTAAACTCTAAATTGAATATCTTGCATAATATGTAAAGAAAAATTAATGTTTCCCTCCTTCTTAGCCCATCCACGTCACAAAGTCAAGCAAGGAGACAACGACCTGAATCTGTCAACGATTCTTCACACCCTTTCAAACGGCCTGCGTAAAAGCTTTATGATTAATCACCTTCATAAGTTATGTCCACAAGCTGAGTTTCAAAAGGAGTAGCACCGATGCCATGATTAGAGTTTACTTTGAGCTTGCGGAGAAGAGTCATAATCTGGAGTATGCTCTTGACCACATCAAGAAGGCTTTTGAGGTTTTGAAAACCAAGAGAGACCGTGGGTTCCAGATCGAGTAAAGTGTTTACGGCCCTATTATTGAGTACTTGATTGATATGGGTTGATGAGTTTCATAGTTTTAAAGATGTTATTAGCGAGACGAGTCCTGATTTGGTTGAGAGGTTTGGTTATTATGAAATGCTTCTTTGGATCCAACTTGGTGACGAAGAGAAATTTGAGGAGCTTTGTGGTGATATTGATTGTAATGGAGACAGTTTAACCTTACTACAAGGTAAGAAAACATACTTATGTTTTGCTTGCTCTTTGTGGTGATGTTGATTGTAATGTAGACAGTTTAACATTACTACAAGCTAAGAAAACATACTTATGTTTTGTTTGCTCTCTTTCTCTGAAAATATTAACTTTATTTTGATTATTGTAAAACCAGAAAGTTATTTGCTTGCACTATGAAGGTAAGAGCAAAAAGAGCATCTTCAGAGGCTATTTGATATTATAGACATAACAAAAGTTTGATCATCAGGCCTATTGGCTAGCATATTTGGATACCTTGTCGAGTTTTCACTGAAATCTGTTGTGAGGAAGTTCCTATGGGAACTAAGAGAAAGTTGTAAGGGAACATTTGACATATAAAACTAATTTTTTTTTACTCATTATAATGTGTTTTTCATTAACATTTGTAGATGAAGGAGTGAATAATGTTTCAGATCTCATCTCTATCTATTCGACATTCACCCCCAAAATCTGATGGTAAAGGGGACTTCTCATGCATGTTATTGGGAGAATCAGAGTTTTAAAGTCCTTTTTAGATAACCAATGCCTTCTAAAAGTTCAACAAGATGCATGAAGAACTTGATGTTATGCCTTCATCTACATCGTATGAAACGCTTGTTAAGTATGACTGTGACTCGAATGAGGTATTCTTTATGCTTATTGTACATTTATTTGTTTTGTTCTTCTGGTGCTCTCCCTAATGGTTATTCCCTCTGTGCCATAGGTGGTCAATGCAACTTGATGTAGTTTAGAAAATGGGTGAAGCAGGTGTGATAATAACCGCAGATATTCTACATTCATTGCTACATTCCATTAATGAAGTTCTTAAGTTTAATTTGGTACGGATTCTCATTCCGCATGAATACTATATAGACAAGCTACTTAAAGACAACAGATTAGCTAAAGCGGCAGCTCATTTATTGCTATTGAGACTTGAGAGATCACCATATTCATCTTCCTCATGCATCTGCTCCTAATTGAAATGGAATTTAGAAGTTTTCTCATATTTTTTACTGTTAAGGTGCGAAAAATCCATTCAATCATGTGCATTAGGAGTGTGAAACCAAGTAGTTAGAACTTCCGGAACATGATACGGTTGTGCACTATAATTAGAGATGTAACTTTCTATCTCTACTTAATTCATCTTCGAGTATATCATCAATCCATATGTTACAAATGATTCTTAGAATTTCTGTTTTTTTTAATCTTTAAACATAAAATTTTGCTATATATCTTATGTTGTTATGGGCAGTTTGAAGGTCCATATAATATGCTTGGTAACTTGAAGAACTTCAATCTGGAACCAAACTCTAGCATGTTCAATTGTATATTGGCTGGATACTACCGTGAGGTAAATATCTGACTTGTTATTTTTAGCTCTCCTAATGTCTCTCAAAACGTTCTGAGCTTATGTTTTATGTATGTTCTTGAAGAAAAATGTGAGTAGAGCGTTAATGCGTTAATGGTCATCAAGCAAATGAAAGAAGCTGGTGTTAAACCTTATTCCATAACTTATGGCTATCTAATAAACAACTGTAATCGTGAAGACACTATTACTAAGGTAAAATTCAGATCTTTTGTCTTAACTTGGTGCCGTGTTAAGGCCACTACATAATCTTTACCTTCTCTATCTCTATGTTGTAAATGAGAAATATTTATATATATGTCGTTTATTAGTACTATGATGAGATGAAACAAGCAGAAGTTCAAGCTACTAAGTGAATTTACATGTCCCTAATAGTTGCATATGCAGCATCTGGTCAGTTTGAGAAGCAAAACAGGTAAGCACACAAGCACTCTTTTATCTGTAAGTTTCTTTTAGTAATTAGAGTAAGAGCTCAAACTTTATTCTACCTTAGGTGCTCTTGGACCCAGATGTTCCCGTTAGATACCAAAATGAACTGAAAAGTGAGCTTATATGGGCTCTTGCATCACATGGAAAAAGGGCAGATGCTTTGTGTATATGTGAAAAATGATGAAAACCAAATGTCAAGTAGATCAAAAATCGATTATATCTCTTATTGTAAGTATACACTTTCATATATTTTATCATATATAGATTGATTCACAATCAGTGGTATGAATATTATCATTTCCGTAGGAATACTCTGACTCAAATGGAGATTTGAATATGTTGATTCAACTGGCTGATGACCTGCAAGATGATAATAGTTACGGTATTATCTATTGTTTACCACATTATTAAATGTCTGATTCTTGATTTTCTCTTTTTGTTTGTGTAACAATGTTCTTGATTTGCTGAAGGGGAACAAAGTTAGATTGTCAAAGAAAGACATCGATGTGGAATATCATTTTGACATCGCTGCTACTCTTTTTGAAATGGCAGATGTGCCGCATAAGCTTAGTATACAAAATGTAGGAAATTGATTTTTTATGTTGCTTGAACTATTTAAATTATTTTGAAATTATCATCCCACCCGTAGGACGAGCATGCCCTAATTTATAATACGCGAGTGTTTCTAAAAAGTTTATTGCAATAATTAAAATTTATATTTTAATAATTTTTTTATCATATCTTAATAATTTGATGTCAGTTTAAGACTTTGAAAGTATAAATAACTTATTAATGTCTTTAAATTATGCATGTACTATAAGTACCAATGAAATGATTATGGTATTACCTGACCATTTTCTACCATACAGCATGAGTTTTGGTAGTTTATTATCAACACACCTTTAAATCATGTTGCTTATAGCATTGATATATAAATTAAAAAAAAAAAAACAGAAAACTAAAACACGAAATCAAACTAGTAGCTTATTATATAAAACTTGGTTCTTTAAAGTTAGTAATTAACATGATCGCGATAAATGGCAATTATGTGTTTAAGATTGTGACGTGTGTGAATCTATCTCACAATTAAAAATATATATACTAAGATAATAACATAAACAAAGTTTGTTTAATAAGTAATTCTAGTGTGGGTGATTGGGCCCAATTCTTGTAACTCCCAGCCCATTTATGAACTTCTGCAAAAGAAAAGGAAATGTTGAGTTAGTTGCCTTCTTTGTTGATGTCGGTCATATACTTTACATAAGGCAATATGGAATATGAGGGGTAAGGTCGGTGATCATATTATTATATATAGAAGAGGTGATCGAGGTTTGGTAAATCATCCAACAAGTACGAGCAAGAGATATAGAGATTAGGTTTCATTAGCAAGAAAGAGAGAGTGCTTTTGCTTTGATTAATTATCTTGTAATCTCTATTGTGTTCTAAGGAAACACATTCTTTTAAGAGTGAATAAAGACAAGGTTTTGGTATTGATTCCTATCTAAGTTTAAGCACTAGGTTAAGGGTTAAATTCCAAAAAAGTGGTACCAGAGCAATCCAGGTTTGATTCCAAGTGCTAGAAGGAGATATGGAATCGCTACCAGGAAAGTTCAAGTTCGAGATTGAGAGGTTTGATGGAAAAGGTGATTTCGGGTTATAGAAGTATAAGATGCTAATGCAATTAGAACTTCTAGGGTTAGATTCTACTATTCAGGAAGTCTTAGAGACACCTTCTGAAACTAGCAAAGAAAAAGACGAAGAACTACCTGAGGTTAAAGTAGATCCGTTGAAGGACAAGAAGGCAAAGAATCTAATATGCATGAGCTTAGGAAATTTGGTTATGCGTAAGGTAATGAAGGAGACAACTGTGTTAGGAGTTTGGAAGGCTTTAGAAAGAGATTACCAAACGAAGACACTTCCTAACAGGATCTACATGAAGCAGAAGTTTGCGAGCTTCAAGATGGACGATCACAAGAGCATCGAGGAAAACCTAGATACTTTTCTCAAGCTAGTTTCAGATCTTGCAAGTCTAAACATCAACATCAGCGATGAAGACCAAGCAATTCAAGTTCTATCTAGCTTGCCCCAGCAACTTGATTCACTAGTTGACACGCTCAAGTATGGGACTGCAAAAGAAACTCTTACCATGAATGATGTGATTAATTCAGCATACTCCAAGGAAGTGGAGTTAAAGGAAAAGGGATTGTTGAATAAATCCAAGTCTGAAGCAGAGGGTTTGTACGTGGAATCAAGGGGCAGATCAGAGAACAAAGGTTACAGAGGTAAACCTAACGGCAGGGGAAGATCTAAGTCAAGGAAAAGGTTTGATAAAAACAAAACAAGTTGTTTTATCTGTGGAGAAGAAGGACACTGGAAAAGAGAATGTCCTGAAAGAAGACATAGAGAATCTGCAAACTTTGCGACAGAGCCGAAGCAACCGTTAGTATTGACAGCTAGTGTGCAAGAAACTAAGGAAGAATGGATCTTGGATTCTGGATATTCTTATCATAGTACATCAAACAAGGAGATTATGTTTGATTTCAAGGAGTTCAACGGTGGTCCAGTGTTAATCGCAAATAACACTCAATGTGACATCAAAGGAATTGGAAAAATAAAGATTCAGAATTCAGATGGCTCTGAAGTGATACTCACAGGGGTTAGATACATAAGGGGTGAGTAGAAATTTAATATCCTATGGGATGTTAGAAAGATCAGGTTGTAAGTATAAGGGAAGCAATTTTATGGTGAACTTCTACAAAGATAAAAAGAAGGTGATATCAGGAAAATATCATGATGGATTTTATCTTTTACAAGGTACAGTTGCTAAGAGTAAGAAGTTAATGCCTAGAGTGGAGAAAGAAATCAGAAAGAAGAAGTCAAAGAAGGTGACTTTTGCAATGAGTCTGATTCAAGGACCTACTCCATTCGGTTTTGAAACAAAAGACTTATCAGCTCAAGGTGGAGAATCTTTATTAACAAAAGAAATTGAGTCTAAAGTGAGCAGTGAAGAATCCCGGATAGAAGCTTTAAGGAATAATTTTTTGTTTGCAAAAGAAGTAGGCAAAGGGATGGTGATTTCTTAGCACATGTTTTGGCTGCACCTGAAGAGCTAATTACGAAAGAAGGATCTAAAGCTTATGAGGAGGATAAGGAAAGCAAAGATCAGAAGTATTGGAAGAAGGCTGAGGAGAACGTAGACATGGAACTTGATAAGGAAGCTGAGGGAAACGTTTCAAAAATATTGGAAGATTGTATCTTCGGAGATAGAGTTAAGGGAGATGCAAAGTCGCTGTCACACATACATACTTGGTGATTTAAAACCAGAACCATATCGACCTACTAATTCAAGTGCCTCCTTGAAACTGTCATGGTTGACCGCATTGAAAGGAATCGCTGCATCGTAGAACCACTTTGCAATAGCACTACAAGCTTCGTCCCTTTGTTCTTTATCACTTACTCCAAAAATATCCTTTCCCTCTTTTCTTCCTTGTAAGATATCAGCATGAGTAGCTTCAACATACCTGTCCATAGGACCCTTACGTTTCTTTAGATTAGGCTGAGATGGGCGTTTTTGACTTGGTTCTTCTACTTCTTCATCATAACCAAAGGCTGGTTGTTGCATTTGAAGAGCAGCTTTGGCGCCAGCTTTGTTCATGAGGAAGGTCTTGACTTCTTCCTTGACATGGTCAAGGACTTTAGGACAGGCAGTAACAGTGGAAAAGCCTCCTACCAGATGATGTTTAACCCTTAAAACTCCACCATTCATGATCTTACCACAAAAGTTGCATATCCAACAACCATATTTCTTAGGAGTAGAGACTAGAGAGATTGATAAACAGAGTAGAAACAAGAAACAAAAGGTTTTTTAGGTTTATAGACCAGAAGTGCAAGAGGCGATGAAATAAATTTTTTTTCAAAAAAGTAAAATATTAATTACTCAACTTACGTGACTTGAAGTTTTGGAACCATAAACAGAAAGTAAATATATGCTTAATCATAATTGATAGGAAACTAACCGTTAGTCGCCAAAGCATTGAAGCGTGATGAGGTGCGAGGCATCCGAAGCGGCTCGAGGCGAGGTTAAAGCGTCGCTTTCTCGAATTCGCCTTGCCTCAGGACTCCGAGGCGGTGAACCCCAAAATAAGGTCGCCTCACCCTTTGCATGCTGCTGGTCACTTTTTGAATCCTGAGTTTCAGTACAAAGGACCTGAAGTGAATTGTGAAGAGGTTATGAGAGGTTTATATGACACCATTGCAAAGTTGGTCCCTGAAGTTGCAACTCAAGATTAGATACTTAAAGAGCTGGATTATTTTAAGAGTGCTTCTGGACTCTTTGGCCATCCCATGGCGATAAGACAAAGGGGAAAAAAAACACCAGCTGAGTGGTGGCTGTCTTATGGAGCATCTACTCCAACACTTAGAGATTTTGCTGTAAAAGTTCTAAGTCTCACATGTAGTGCAACAGGCTGCGAGAGAAATTGGAGTGTATTTCAGCATCTCCATACCAAGAAAAGGAATCGCTTGACCCAAAAGCGGTTGAATGACATGGTTTTTGTTAAGTACAACCGAGCTCTTAAACGCCGCTACAATCTGAAAGATACAATTGATCCTGTTGACCTAGAAGCAGAAATTGATGAGAGTAATGAGTGGCTGGTAGGAAGAATGGAGGGAGACTCTGATGGTGATGATCTGGTTTTTGATGATTTAACATGGGAATTGGTAAGCAGGGCATCTGGAGCTGATGAGCCTAGTTACCCTACTAGAGCATCTTCAAGTAGGTGTGAAAGAGGAAAGAATCCATCCACAAACTCAACTTCAGGTCAAAAAGCTTCTCAATGATCATCTCCAATGATGTTGATTTATGAGGATGATGAGAATGAAATTGAAGAAGATGTTGCAGATGGAGCTAAGAAGTATGCAGAAGCTA